CACCCCCACCCACGCCCACATCCACACCCATACCCACTCCCACAGCCACACCCACACCCTAAGTCTGTTTCTTCATATATTCAATTTAATCTCTGTATTTGCAATAAAATCAAATAACGATGATGTTATTGTCGAATCTTCGATGGTTATTTTTATTCTTTATACTTGGACAATTCAATAGACAACATGTAGAAGCGACTTGGCCCTTATTAAACTCTTCTACCATACAACTTTTAGGCCTTTTTCAAGATGCAGCGAATGCATCTGAATCTCTCGAATTCTCTATTCATGCTGAGGCTATGTTTAAAGCAGCAGTCATACTTTCTCAACAATATAATATAACAATTGAAGGAAAATTCATAGAATGGTATGTTGCACAAACTAATGGCAAAGCTGTAGATGCTATAAGTAGGGCATGTCAAGCAATATCTACTTGTAACATTATTGGTATTGAGGGTCCAGTATTGTCAGGAGAAACTCCTATTAATGCTGGTCTAGGAGAAAGAATTGGTATTCCTGTTATATCCTATGCTGCAACAGATCCTGATTTATCTGATCGACATGCTTATCCTGCTTTTTATCGTACAGTTCCTTCAGATAATATAGCTTCAATAGCAATTGTTAAATTATTTATTCGATTTAATTGGACTTTATGCATAATTATACATCAAAATGATGCATATGGATCTGGTGGTGCAAAAGCACTCACTGAAGCATTTATTAATAATAATTTAGTGGTTGCAGATATGTTAGTATTTGATGTAGCAACACGTCGTATGCGAGATAATTTGAAAAATATTTTAACTAGTAGTTCAACACGACTTGTTGTATTATGGGCTGAATCAACTTATACATCTTTAATTTTACAAAATGCACTTGAATCTGATGTACTTGGTCCACATTTTACATGGATATTAAGTTCAACTATTTCATTAAATTCTTTTAATGAAACATTTCATCAAAAATTAATTGGAGTGCTTTCTGTTGAACCTATAATAGCAAATGTTGTTCATGCACCAATTAATACAACATTATTAAATGCAGCCTATAATATTTGGAAACAGTATGAACCTGAAACATTTCCTGATTCAACAAAAGTAGATTATTATGCATTATTTGCATATGATGCAACTTGGTTATTGATTCAAGCATTACAAAGATTATGTTCAAAAGTTACTAATAATTCTTTTTCATGTTTATCATTTATCAATTCTTCATCTTGTTTTGATCGTTATTTTCTCAATTCTAATTCATTTTTTGATACAATTAATCATATGAGATTTCTTGGTGTTTCTGGTCCTATACAATTTAATATTAATACAACAGATCGAATAAATGGTAGTTATTATTTTGTACAAAATATTCAGTCTTCTTCAAATAGATTAAATTTTATACCAGTATTGAAATATTCTGAGCAGGATAATTGGCAAGAATATTCAGAAGTAAATAAAATTATTTGGCCAGGTAATTCATCGATACTTCCTACTGGTAGAGCAAAACTTGACGGTGTTAAATTACATATTGGTGTGATTGAATCAGTTCCATTTACGATGATTAGTACTATAAGAAATGAATTTGGACAGAATACTACAAAGTTAATTGGTTATGTACCTGATCTTATTGAGCTTTTACAAAATAAGATGAAATTCATTCCAAATATTGAATTAATACCATCGAATCAAACTTATGCCTCATTAGTGCAGTTAATAGAAGATCATGTTTATGATATAATAATAGGTGATGTGACAATTACTGCTACAAGAAGAGGAAAGATTAATTTTTCAAATTCTATATTTAATAATTCTTTACATATTATTATGCGAAAAACTTCCGATATTAATTTCGATCTCTTTGCATTCATGAAACCATTATCATTTAAGCTTTGGTTATTAATCTTGGGTGTTATTATTTTTGCTAGTATTTTATTCTGTTTATTCGAAAGAGAGAATATTGATCCTTACAAAGAAAAATCAATAATTTATTTATGTGCAATGAGTATTTGGTATGTTTTTGGTAATCTTGTAGGATATGGTGTTGATTCTTTTCATGCTGAAACACCCGGTGGACGTTTGTTAACTGCTGGTTTATATATCTTATGTTTGGTATTAGTTGCATCATATACTGCAAACTTAGCATCTGAGCTAACAATATCAAAATCGAAGAATGTTATTTCTGGAATCAATGATATTAAAAATGGAAAAATACTATTCAATCGTATTGGTATTCTTGTAGGTACAGCTAGTGAAGACTATTATTTAAGAGAAATCTCTGGAGGTAATCGAAATTATTATCCATTAAAGTCTCGACAAGAAATGTATAATAGTTTATTAAATAATATAATTGATGTCTCTTTTCATGATGCGGGTGTTGCAGAATATATAACTAATAATATATATTGTGATTTAACATTGATTGGTGAAGGTTTTGATCAAGGTGCATTTGGTATTCTTATACCTAAACAATGGTTATATGACCAAGACTTAGATGTTAATATATTATCACTAAAAGAATTAGGTAATCTTGATACTTTGAGAAGAAAATGGTTTCAAGTAAAGAAATGTTCTGATTCATCGGAGACACCTAGGGTAATTGGAATTGAATCATTGAGTGGATTATTCATAGTGTTCGGAGTGATTTGTGTTCTACTTAGGGGTACCCAAAAGTAGTGGCGGAGGTATCTTATTTTCGTATAGAACGCTTGAGAAAATTTTCTTTTTTTATGAGATGATAGAGAAAACGAAGCTCTATTTTTCTGTGCTATTTTATCCCTATTCAACTGGTACCATAATAATAAAATTTCGATAGGAACTGTTTTTGTTGAAAACTTAACTAACGGATGAGGCAGATTAAATGACTACGTTTTGCATTTCAATTTTCAATCACTTAATACGTTGTATTAAAAACAAAATATACCACAAGATGCAGCGTGAAAAGCTCTACAATTTATAAAGAACAGTTTATTTCATATATGAGATAAGAAAAAAGGAATTTCTCTTCGTATAGAAAAAAATGATTTTTTCTGGGCAGTCGCACAGAATTTTGCTTTTTTTTGAAAACAAGAAGTACGCAATTAAAATAAGCGGTTTTATATAGATTGTAGGGCTTTTCACGCTGCATCTTGTGATGTATTTTGTTTTTTTTAAATAAAAGATATCAGGTGATAAAAAGATGAAATGAGAAAAAAATGAATTCATCTTATACCAAAAAATATCGTTTTCGCACGGTCGAAAATTGGTCGCTTAAAATTTTGCTCATTATGAAAACAAAAAGTGCAACTATAAAATAAGCTGTCTTATGTAACTTGTAGAGCTTTTCACGCTGTATCTTGTGGTATATTTTGTTTTTAATACAACGTATTAATCGATTCAAATATTTAATCTGCCTCACCCGTTAGTTAAGTTTTCAACAAAAACAGTTCCTATCGAAATTTTATTATTATGGTACCAGTTGAATAGGGATAAAATAGTACAGAAAAATAGAGCTTCGTTTTCTCTATCATCTAATAAAAAAAGAAAATTTTCTCAAGCGTTCTATACGAAAATAAGATACCTCCGCCACTACTTTTGGGTACCCCTAAGTATAATTTAATAAATAAAAATATTCAGATATTTATTAGAGTACATTTTATACATGTGTTATATCATGAAAATTCTATGTAGAGATGAAATCAATGAAGAAGTTAGAAAAATCTCATCATATCAATGGTCATCCATAACTGTTATACAGTGGTTTGCAAAAAAACTTGGAACAATTAGTCAACACAAAGATTTAATATTTCCTAGTTTTTTTGGAGGGCATCTTTTGCTGTTATCGTAGATTTATATTTAGTAGGTTATCTACTTAGCAGATTCATTTACTTTATCGATTTGTGTTCTTTCGTTATTAGAGCAGAGTTNCTGTTGGAATAATTATAATTGCTATAATAACGATGATCGTCTCATTTATAGGTTATAAATGGATTCATATCTATGAACGATATTCATGGATACCAGTATTTATAGGATATTGTATATTAGCAGGAGTTGGTGCCAAATATTTTACAAATAGTGAAATGGTAATATCCATTAACAATGAAGAAGTCTAATCTCTAATGTGTTTGAAAAAATTCAGGATTATTTCTTCCCATGTGAAAAAAAATCAAATTTTAATCAAAAACTTTTTGATTTAAAATCGATTAAAATGAGACGATTTTCATCAGATTCTAAACAAATTAATAATCAAAAAAAACTGATTTTAATTGATTTTTACCGACTAATTGATTAAAATCAGTTTTATTCTGATTATTAATTTGATTAAAATCCGATGAAAATCGTCTCATTTTAATCGATTTTAAATCAAAAAGAAAACGATTTTAATCAATTTTTCACAAAATAATCCATTAAAATCAATTTTATTCCGATTATTAATTTGATTAAAATCCGATGAAAATCGTCTCATTTTAATCGATTTTAAATTAAAAAAATATCGATTTTAATCAATTTTCTACAGATCATCCATTTTAATCTCTCATTGCCTGTTAATCGATTTTCATCTATAACTACTGACTAACTGGTTTTTTAATCTCTTGCTATCTACTATTCAATTATAACCTATTATAACCTTTCTATAGATTTTAATCGATTTTCCTATGAAATTGCGAAAACTTGTGACTTTCTCGAGATTCTGACCCAGAACGCATATTTTTCGACCATTTTTTCTTATTTCTCATGTTAAGAAACTATGAAGTCACCGATGCACCAAATTTCGGTACTCAAAGTAAGTTTGGAAGTCCTATTTAAATTGTTTTCTTAGAAATTGCGCAATTACATTGAAAAATCGATTAAAATAGATTAGATAAAAATTAATCGATTATAATCGATTTTCTCTATGAAAAGATATTACCATTCATGCAACTGTAATAGATTTTAATCAATTAAATATAATTAATCGCTTTTAATCAATTTTTCGTATGGAAAACATTCATATCCATATAACTATAATTGATTTTAATCGATTTCCCGTATATGTGACATTAAGGCCTCCCCCCCACTCAAAAAAAGTCAAATTTCGTCAAATTTTTCGAAATTGAGATAACAGCATGGGAAGATAGCCCGTGATCTGCTCTTTCATAGCTGATAAAAAGTTTTCCTCGATGCCTCCTTTTTGTCCAAAATTTTCGAAGATTTTCGTCACCCCCTATTCGAAAAACCAGCTGTTTTTTGAAAAATCAAAAAATGTTTTTCGTTTTTTCTCGATATATGATTTTTTGATTTTGGGACAAGAAGTTCTCAGTCCCGGCTCGGGCAATATATTAAAATTTTTTTTTTGTTTGAATGAGCGCGTCGAGATGCAGATCACCACAGAGTCCTTTTTTTAATTAAGCTTTATTTTTCATTATATATACAGACACTTATGTAACTGGACACCCATTTTTGGCGCTTTTTTTGAGTCATTGAACTTGTGATCTCCTTTCTCCGTTAAAAAATTAAGAATCTTAAAAAAAGGACTCTGTGGTGCTCTGCATCCTGACATGCTCTTTCTAACAAAAAAAAAATTAAATATGTTGGACGGACCCGGACTGAGAAATTCTTGTCCCAAAATGACCTATTTTTGGCCCTTGTTTGGTGAATATCTCAGTCAAACGTTGTGGTATCGAGCTGAAAATTTTATCACAGCCTCTCCACATCAGCCCCAACATATGCTCAAAATTTCAGCCCATTTGAACATACCTGGGCTGAGATCGATTTTTGAGTGGGGGGGAGGCCTTAATATTCATATAACTGCAATGGATTTTAATCAATTAAACTAATATAACCACTTTTAATCAATATGTCATATGAACGACATCATAATTCAAATAACTATAATGGGGTTTAATCGATTACAGTTTCATGAATAAAAGGCTTGTTGGCGCAGCTCCAAAGGAACTGAAATGTTAGACTTATGTATATTTTTCAGACCTGTTATCCTAATATGTCATCTGTAAACAGAAAAATTTCTGTCGACTAAAGTCGTTTTCATAATTCGTTGGTGACCAGAACCATAATTTATCATTTATTTCTATATTTGAAGCCGTAACTGTCTTTTTCAATTGAGTACACCCGATTTTTTTATATTATTGTTGCTGTATACTCGATAATAATCATCTTTTTTGTTTGTTTTTTATTTGAAATTCTATTTTCACTATCAATTATTTCACAAATACGAGGTTACAACCCATGCAAAAAAATTGATTAGCAAAATAGATTAAAAATCGATTATAATCATAATATTTCAAATAACCGATTATAATCTGATTTTGTTGTGATTATCACTGCTTAAACTATTGATTAAAGGTATATGATTATAATCGATTTTTAGTCTATTTCTGCCCTTTAAAAGCTGATTTTTTACGTGTTTTTTACATGGGAATAACTCACTTAATATGTATCAATCGTTCTTACGGCAATATTATATATCTCAATTAATTGATAAATCATGATAATGTTTATTTATGACGCTAGTAAAAGGTTGAATAGTCCTTCTTGTATTGATTATACCATCAGTCAGGCAGATTAACACCTATTATCATTCTTCATCCTAGATTTTTAGCATACAAGTTTAAGTTCTTAAAAAAATCGACGATTAATACTATTAAGAGTTTTAATAAGTGTGTATTAGTTTTTTCAAATAATTATGAAAACATTGAATATTGAATAGCAGTCTAATTCATATTATTCATACTACTTAACTCTTTTTCTATTCTTAAATAAAGCTGAAAATCTTTTTCCTGTGCGATTGGTGAGGTCTCTAATGGGAGTTGTGTCTGTAATGACGGGTATATCTGCGATGTTCTCTTTCTCCGTTGTTAGATGTCTGCAATCGGAAAGGGGAAAGGGAAAGGAAAGCCGCCAATACTTGAACTGAAAAATTACACTGACTATTTTCTTCGAAAATATACGTGAGTTTCACAAAATTGATTAAAATCTATTAAGTTTTTAATTGATTATTTAGATTTCTGAAAATAAAATCGATTTTAATTGATTTTAGTTTCATCAACAAAAAATTGATTATAATCTATTAAATTTTTAATGGATTATTTGAATTTCGTGAAATAAAATCGATTTTAATCAATTTACACAAAGAAAATCTATTAAAATCAATTATTTTCTCAAATTTAATCAAAAATGGCGTATTTAATCGATTTTTTATGATAATTTCACAAAAAATCAAATTTAATCCGAAATTTTGCGATTTTTTTTTATATGGGTTCTCATATAGGTATTTCACAATGCAACAATATCCAGCAATAGTAGTACTTTTCGTCTTGAATTATCTTGTGTTCTAACTTTTGGCTCAATAATTTTTGGCACTGCATGTAGTTGGTGTCCATTTGCAGCTGATTACAATACATATTTTCCTGAAGATACAAGTCAATTAAAAATTTTTCTTCTCACTTATATTAGCAATTTTGTATCAATGGTTGTAATGCAATTACTTGGTGCAGCTGCTTATACTGGGACATATACAAATCAAAATTGGAAACAAGCATATGAAATAAATAATGTGGGTGGATTATTGGGTGCCATTCTATCACCTCTTCGTGGTTTTGGGAAATTTATACTTATTCTATTTTCATTGTCAATTGTTGCATGCAATATACCGAATCTTTATTCATTATCATTATCTACACAAGTTATTGCACCAATATTTAGTCGTATACCACGTTTTCTTTATACAATTATTGGTACTGCAGCCTATGTTCTATTAGCTATTGTAGCTGCAAGTAAATTTAATGATGCATTAACATCAGCTATGGGTATATCTTCATATTGGTCTGCAATATTTATGGTTATTGTATTTGAAGATCATATATTATTTCGACGTTGTTCATTTCGAAATTACAATTTTAGTATATGGAATTCTTCTAAACTATTACCAATTAGTTTAGCTGCTATTCTATCGGCATTAGTTGGTGTAGCTGGTATTATACTTGGAATGTCACAAATTTGGTTTAGTGGACCAATAGCAAAAGCTATTGCAGGAGATACGGATATCGAAGGTGCAGATATTGGTTTTGAAGTTGGATTCATATTTACAGCAGTTGCTTTTCCATTATTTAGACTCATTGAACTGTATTTTATTCGGCGATGACCATTTCTTTACATACTAAAGAAAAATGTGTTTCACTTCTATTTTATGTTCTTCTAGATTACTTCTGGGATAGGGTGGGTGTGGATGTGAGCGTTGGTGTGGGTATTTCTTGTACAGCTGTCCACACCAACATCCTAATTAGTTTTAAAAGGATTTTTTTTTCTTATACATTATTGAAGAAAAAGACGTGCTCTGGTCTCCTCTTTCGATTGGTAAAAATTACAGATCTCTAGCTGCTTGGGTTCTCAAATTATTCAAAAACCAGAGGAGCACATTGTATTTTGAAATGGACAATAGGTAAAAAAAATTTTTAAACACAACTTTGCACTTTTCTACCTCCTGCACGGCATGCCAATTGTTGTTGTTTTGTATATATGAGTAGCGTCGATGCAAGTGAAATTTGTATTTTCTTGATAGAGCGAGAATATTGGTTGTGTAAAGGATAAAAAAACCATCCAAAGAGAAACAGAGAAAAAAATACTGTGGCAAGAGCAGAAGGAAGAAAGAAAAAAGAAAAAAGTGAGTAATTGGAATTTTCTCGATTACTTTTGTTCGTTTTGAAGCTTCTTTTGCTGTATTAAAAGTATTACTAATGTGGTGAAATAAAAATTTACACTTTTGCTTCATTTTAGTTTTGGGGTGTGGGTGTGGGGTGTCGGTGGGGGTGGGTGTGGGTGTGGGTGTGTGGGTGGGTGTGGGTGTGGGTGTGGGTGTGTGGG